ATATATGTATAATTATATAATTATTATGGTACATACCCCAAGGTTTTCCAGTCTTAAATCTATTTCCTTTTGGATTCATTTAATATCCTTATTATCATTTAATATCCTAATTGAACATATACATGTGCAATAATTTTAATATGCAGTACATAATCTTGATCATGGATGGATTCTATGACACTGTATTATGTACTTAGATGATAATGCACATGACGGTAAAATTGAACGTGGCAGAAGCACATCATGGAGAATTCAGAGCCCACATCCCCACACTGTTTTGGGTGCTTCATGCACTTTGCTCACTGCAGCAGGATATAGTTTCCTTTTCCAGAAGCTGTGCTTGCTCAACCGTCAAAGCCGCTATCTCTCCCAGAGATTATATGATTACTTTCACCAAAGTGAGAACTAGTGGGGGAGGGGGGCAGTAACAACGTCTGTAGCCTCTTGATATACTCATGGATAGTAAGAATATCAAGGCACGGCAGTAGTGAATGTACATGTCAGCCTTGTGTTTGTTGGCTGTTTGCGGCGGCTCATGGAGTCAACTGAAGTCCATCATTAGGAAAAGAGTCGATGCCAGATGTGGCATCGGATGAGCCTGATGTCATCAGCAGAAGTGAAGATGTATTGCACATGAAAGTGTGTGGGAGTGACCAGCTGCACCTGCTCCACTGTCTGTGTGAAAGCAGCTGCAACACGCTCTGCGGAGGCACAAACAGGCTGACTGAAGACAGAGGACTTCTCGGGGGTTATGTGGATTGTTTTCTTGGCTCAGCTGGGGTGAGGGAGGCATCAGCACCACTGATGGTGGTGACTGTGATGCAATTCTGTGGCTAGCTCGGGACAACATGATTGAAGTGGCTTTGCTAGTTGGGCTTCGGTCATGGGAGGAGGGTCCCGGAGGAGGGGTTTAACGGTTGAAGTGAAGGAGAATGGATGTTATAGCTTCCTCGATGTCTGTGGCTAACTATGGCAGCCCAAGGCCAGAGCAGAGAAAGCAGTGGAGAGCAGTGCAATTCCATTTTGTGGTGCAGAAACACGAGCGGCACACTGATCAGAGGCAAGGGTACTGCTGCTTTGTAAGGAATAAATGCATGGGTTTGCAGGTGCTGGGTTCCAACTCATGTTCTGTACCACTACTCTTGTCACGACTGATGTTACGTTTTCTGTGGACATTTCATTGGGTACCCCATTGTAATCTAATAAAATCAATACCTGAACTACATGATAAATCGCCTGCCTTTACGAAGATAATAAGCCTCCTTTCAAATAGAGCTCAATCTTAAGTGATGGAAAGAAACACTAAGATTCACACCTCATCTTAAAAGGGAAATCAAGAAAAAACATTTTCCATCCATTTTTTAATCTGCTTATCTTCACAAGGTTCGCACGGGTGCTGGAGCCTATCGCAGCTGTCTTCGGGCAAGAGGTAGGTACACCCTGAACCGGTCACCAGCAAATCGCAGGGCACACATAGACAAACAACCATTCACGCTCACAATCACACCGAGAGACAATTTAGAATTAGATAAGATAAGAAAACCTTTATTTGTGTTACAATGGAGAAATTGGCAATCTACAGCAGCAAAATTTGGAGGGAAGAAAGTAAAAAAATAAAAAAAATGAAGTATTTGCATGCACAAATAAATTTAAAAAAATAACTGTACAATTATATAATATAATTATAATATAAAATATAAGATATAAGCATATGTGCAACTGCATATATGCTGCACAAGGTGGCTGTGCTATTTGCAATGGGAATGTTCCATTAACCTGCTGTGCATGTTTTGAGAATGTGGGAGGAAACCGGATTACCCCGAGAAAAGCCACGCAGGCACAAGGAGAACATGTAAACTCCACCCAGGAAGGCCGGAGCCAGAAACGAACCCTGCACCTCTGCACTGTGAAGCAGACGTGCTCTCCAACCGATCACTGTGCCGCCTTCGTAATTTTTAATTTATATATACGTATTTATTAATTTATTTACTGTGTTCACTGCCTATGTTATTGTATGATTAATTTTTAATCCATGTACAGCACTTTGTATGCAGCAATGGTTATTATGAAGTGCTATATAAATAAAGTTGAGTTGAGAGCTATTTATGTAAGAACTTGTGAAGTGACTTTATTCTAAAGAAAACCTTTGGAAAATGACTCAATCAGTTCAACATGTTACAATCACGTTTAAAATTTAATGGCAAACAGAAAAACTCGAAAAGAAAATCTGAACAGGCAACAATTTAAACTGGAAGTGTCTGGCGAATGTCTATGCAATACACTTGCAAAACTTCGCCGCTCAGTGAGATACTGGCTTTATGAGCTATTTTGTGTTGTCAATGATATATTGGTTCAAACAAATGTGTGTTTCTGTTTATTATTATTATTATTTATTTATTCATTTATTTACACTGGTTCACAGTCAGCAGTTGTAGTAATTCTTGCATTAGTAGCAGTCGTGCTCATGTATGTACATTATATATGAAGTGTTTATGCATCTGAACATCACA